TCCCCCCAGGTGGAGATGCTGGAGCGCAAATATGGCGGCTACTTCCGCACGCGCCGCGCCGCCCGCACCATCCAGGCCGCCTTCCGGCGTTACCGCATGGCTCAGAAATTCGAGCGGCTGCGCAGCGAGGGGGGGCGGGCCCGACGTTTGGCCCTGCCGGGTTTACGCCTCCAATTCTCATTCGAAGAATACGACCGTGGCCCCCCAGCCCCGGGACCCCCAGGACCCCCTCCTCCACCTCCCCCTTATTTCCAAGGGAAACCCGCCTCGCTGGACGAGGGGGTTTTGGGGGGGCCGAGGAGGGCGCCTCGTTACGGGGGGTCTTGTAGGGCTGGGTTGGATGGGGGGGGGCCCGGTGATGGTGGAGGTGGAGGGGGGAGCGGGGGGGTAGGGGGAGCCGGGACCCCCCCAACCAGGCAGCATTCGGCATCGGCGGATTTCGGGCCAGGAGGGGCGGATCTGGAAGAAGCGTTCGCTCAGCAGGTGGGGGGGGCTCGGGGGGGGGTGGGGGGGTTGTTGGGGTATTGGGAAGTTGGGGGGCTTTGGGGATTGTAGGGAAATTGGGGGTCGTGGGGACATTGGGGGTTATGGGGTCATTGAGGGTCACGGAGGCATGGTGTCAGGGGGGCGTTTGGGGATGTTGGGGACGTTAGGGGACATCGTGGGTCATGGGGGCATTGGGGGTCATGGGGTCATCGGGGGTCACGGGGTCATTGAGGGTCGTGGGGGCATTGGGGACAATGAAGGACAACAGAGGTTATGGGGTCACGGGGTCATTGAGGGTCACAGGGACGTTAGGGGACATCGAGGGTGGTGGGGTCGTTTGGGATCATGAGGGCATTGAGGGTTGTGGGGGCACTGGGTGACACTGGGGGTCATGAGGATGTTGGGGAACATTGGGGGCATTGGGGAACATTGGGGTCATTGATGGTCATGGGGTCATTGGGTGTTATGGGGTCGCTGGGGTCATTGGGAGACATTGGGGGTTATGGGGTCATTGGAGGGCATGGGGACATTGGGGGACAGTGGGGGTCATGGGGTCACTGACAGTCATTGGGGTCATTGGGAGTCATGGGGTCATTGGGGATCATTGGGTTCAATGAGGGACGGGGGGACAGTGGAGGTCATTGGGGGT